GCCGCCCCGGCCTCGCCGACCCCTTCCCCAGCCCTTAGCACAGAGAGGGACAGACGCCCCTCCCCCAGCTGCGTTTTTTTATAGTAGATTTTTAACAAAAACGGGGAGAAATAATGCATTTCTGTGGATAAGCGCCCGCCGCTCTCCTCAACTTGGAAACGACCCCCTCCCTCCCCACCTGTCTGTGTCCCCTCCTGGCCCCCACGGCGCCCCCCACTTCCAGGGATCTCCCGGAGGCAGGCGGGCGGACAGAGGCCCTGCAACCCCGCTGCCTCCGTGGGCTCTAGAGGTACTGAGGCAGGGTGCTCACGGGGAGAAGGGGAGCCTTTGGGGGGCCGCCCCCAGGGCCTGGACCTGAGTAGGGAGGCCACGTCCCACCCCACCTCTTGTGTCTGGATCCCTGCTCCCCTTTGGGTGTGTGTGTGTGTGTTTTCATTTTCTTTTTGGAAAAATGGACAAAAAAATAGAGAGAGAGAGAGGTATTTAACTGCAATAAACTGGCCCCGCGTGGGCCCGCCTTGTCTGTCCGCGTCTCTGCTCCTCTCGGGTCGGAGGGGTTCGGAGCCGCCGCGTGGCGAGGGCAGGCTTGGCGGTGCGTCCATGGCTGCGCCCCGGGCCTGCCATCTTGTTCTGCCCGTGCCATCCGTCGGGCAGATGGAAGGATCAGGCACGAACGCCCTCCACGGGCCGAGGGCCTGTGGGTGTGGGGCCGAGAGGCGCTGGGGTCAAGGCCGCGTCCTGGTGTTGGGGGGAGTGGCTGGGGTCTCCTGTGTCACCAGGTCTTAACAACAGATCTGGCTCCTGGCCCTGTCGTGGGCTGAAGCCCTCCCCTCGGCGTCAGCCAATGGTGGGGCCTGGCCTTGAGCCCCCCGCCCCCCGGAGGGCAGATGGCCAGGGAGCCAGGCTTGGCGCGTCAGCCTGTCGCCTCGCGCTGCGGTCCTGGCGCCTGTGCTGTGACCCCTGCCCCGACGGATGACGAAACCTGGCCTGAGCGGAGATGCAGTGATGCCCCAGGCTGCTGGGGGATGCCGTGGCCCCCGTGGGTGCCCGTGCGACCTTCGCTGCACCGCGGACCCAGGCCTCCGTCACTCTGACCCAGGCCTGCCGGCCCAGTCCCCTTGTCTGGTTCCCTGCGCCCACCCCACGTGGCCCGGCTGTCCCCTCCTCTCCTCTGAGAGCACCTCTCCCTGAGATCCCCCTGTCGGGGGCCATCTTTCCAGTGAGTGCAGCACACAGGGAAAGGGTGCCGCCCACTTTCCGGGCTCCCCACAACCCACGCCTCCCATTTTTGGGTCTTGGGGGTCTTGGCAGTGGTTCAGGCGGGAAGAAGTGTTGGTTCCTTGACCAGCACTGCCACACTCCTGTTAGGGTTGACTTGGGATGGCACCCCATCTCTGAGTCGAGGTATGTGGGTCCACTAGGCCTAAGGGGTCTCTGGCAGTGGGCAGTAGCGGGGTCTGTCAGGCTGGGCAGGCTTGGTTCCTCTCCCTGCCTGGCTGGGGAACCAGTTCTCCAAAAAGACCCCTTGATCATGCTTAGTGAAATCAGCCAGGAATATACCAGATGGTTTCACTCATAGCAGGAGCATAAAGGAAGCGGGGGAGGACATGCACTGGACTGTGGAGATGGCACACAGGTGATGGGTGATGGGAAGCCCACGGGGATCACAGCTGAGATGGGAAAAGGCACAAAATGATGTAGAATAAACTATGACATTAAAAGAAAAAAGAGCCCCTTGTGGTGTTGGCCATTGCCTGTGGTGTAGACTCCAGGTGGCTGGCTTTGAGCACAGCCTGTCCCGCTGAGCTCCAGTGAGCAGGGCCTAGGGCCCAGCTCTGTCCTGGTTGGGGGGCGGCAGGACAGCCCAAGTGTTAAGATCGCCAGTCAGGCCGGGATGGCCGCTCAGCCTCGGGGCGGGCTTGGGCACAGGCCCAACCTGCCTTCAGTTGGTCCCTGAAACATGAGGAAAATAAGTCTCTGCAGGCCGGTGGGATCCTCAGAGGGAGCAAGAGCTGGGAGGCCAGGTCTCTGGGGTCAGGACCACCGAGGGCCCCTCAACACAGTAGAGCCCAGGAGGGGGTGGCAAGAGCTGCTTGGAGGCCCGGTGACACCTGTGAGTTTAACACGGACGTGAGGCCCCTGTGGGACGGCATCAGCAGCTGGTGGCTCCTGTCGCCCGTCTTATGGCCAGGCCTTCATTTTCCAGACCGGGGGCTGCAACCTAACTGAGCCTTGGAAAACACCAGATGTGTGCTGCCCCCCAGCATTGTCAAGTCAGTGCCCCAGAGCCCCCTGAGGCGCACCCAGGCGCTGTGGTGATGCCAGACACCTCCGAGGGCCTCGCCAGTGACATCCAGGGCAGCGGGAATAGGGACTGCTCATCGACCTCCTCAATTCCTGGGGCGTGGGGGGACAACGGTGACGCCGTATCAGGGAAAGTGTTTCTCAGGTGGCCAGAGGCTTGTCTGTGGCCTCACGGCCCCACCCCCTCTGCTGGCCCAGGGTGACACAACCCTGTTCCCTGTCACTCTGTTCCCGCTTATCTCTTCCCGCCTTTTCGGCGCCACTACCTTCTTGGAAATGAGTTACTGAAAGGGGAGGGGGCTCAGCACCCCCTCCGCCCCCACAGGCCCCATAAATAAGCAGTGGTAACAGCCTCAGACACCAGAGACAGTCCTACCCCTGACAGGACAGATCGCACAATGGCCCAGAACGTCCGGACCCAGGCCACCTGCCTCCTGCTGCTGCTCCTGGCCAGCATGGCCAGCGGCGTGGTTCTCCAGCGCCAGGTGAGGCCATGGCTCTGGGGCCCGGGGGACTGGAGAGCCAGTCGCTGGAGTTGGGGCGGGGGGGGGCGGCTTCTGAGGCAGCTGGAGACCCACAGGGCAGGGCGAGAGGGGACAGGCAGCTACCTGAAGGATGGAGGAGATGGGTACTGATGGCAGGGTCTGGGAGCCCCAAACTGCACTTTCAGTCCTCTTCTTCTAGATGCTGGGGACCCAGTGTGAACACGACAGATGAGGAATTTGCTCCCTAGGAGCTTGGCTGTGGAATTAGTCAGTGAGCAGTTCAAGCCTAAATAAATGCTTAGCAAATGCTATTCACGAGTTACGGGCGTCACTAACAAGAGACCGCAGCCGGGAAGTGCCGGCGGTCTGGTCCTGTGAAAAATGTTCCTTGATCTTGGACTTGGGAGGGTAAGAGAAGTGGGGGTGGGGGGTCGGCAGAGATGCCAGGGGTGCCGGCGAACTCGGCATCCGAGGGCATCCGAGGCCAGGATGTAGTCGTGAGGGTGCCTGCAGGTGAGGCCGAGGGTGGTCCTGCCACAGCTGTGGCACCAGGCCAGCCGGCCCCCCAAGCGCACAGGAAGCCCGAGGCCTTTAAAACGGGGAAAGCTACATGCTACCGCGAACACGGGAGGGGCAGAGTGAGGGGCAGACGCAGGACTTAGGGCCAGACCGGCATCCGGGCCAGGGAGGCCGAAGGCTGCAGAAGAGCCGCAGCACCGGGCAGCGGAGGGGGCAGGTTTCGGGGGCCTGTGGAGGCGAGAGAGCAGGGGCTGCACGGCAGGACCAACCTGGGGAGCAGGTGTCTGAGGCTCCCCCCCGTCCTCTCTTCCCCTCTGCTTTCACAGACAAGGCAGCCTGCACACCCCCAGGCCCAGGACACAGTGGGAGCCGAGGACGGCCTGACGGTAAGCGGGGCTCCCTCGGCCGGCCGCACCCCCTGCCCGCCCCTGGCCCGCCCCTCACTCCCTGTCCTTCCTTCCTGCAGCTTGGGCCCCGGAGGCTGTCAAGGCGAGACACCCACTTCCCCATCTGTATGTTCTGCTGTAACTGCTGTCCCAACATGAAGCACTGTGGGATCTGCTGCAAGGCTTAGCCCAGCCGGCAGCCGCCCGCCCTCCTCGCCCCTCCTTATTTATTCCTCACGCCGCCACACCCAGCCAGTGGTCTTAGAATAAAATGGCCGGTTCCATCTTTTTATTTTCCAAACGCGAGTGTCTGGTCTCTCTTTGCCTGCCAGGGCCTCGGAATTGGGTTGTGGGGGTGTGGGTGGGCGTATGCTGAGGCTGCCCAGGAGGTGGGGGTCTGTTCCGGGTCTTTTTTCTGTTCTTCCCTCCTTCCCTCACCCCTTCAAAGCCCTGGGATTAAAGTTGCTACAGTAGGGGACGAATCTTAAACAGTTGCCTTTCCTTGAAGGCTTGAAACAGAGGTAACAAGTTTGAGGCCTAGGAAGGTTCTCAGAGGTCAGGAGGTGCCAGCCAGGGCTCCGCAGTAGAATCTGCAAAGATGGGGGATTCCCTCTTCACCCTCCTCCCTCATGGGTATGCAATGGCACCTTTGGGGGGACGTGGGGTGACATTCTGGTCTGGCCTGTGTGCTTGGCTTGAAGTTGGTTTCCAGTTTTCCCAGTTTCAGTTGCAGACACATGGGGCAACGGCAGACATAACCACTTTTGGGGGGCTCTCTGTCAGTTTACAGAGTAGAAGAACGGGGCCCTGAGACCAAAAAGACGGGGGACCACTGGCCCCCAGAAGGCCCGGGCCGTGCGTGAAGCGAGCTGGCTTTGCTTCCCAGGAGCATCCTGGGCGTGGCTGCTCCGGTCTGACGAGCCAGGCCGTGTGCCGTGGGGTGGGGCAGCGCCCGCCTCAGTGCAGAGTGAGGGTCCCCTGCATCCGGGAGAGCTGCATCCTGCCATGTTGCCGGTTTCCCCACTTTTGATAGAACAATAGCTGCAAGACATACTTCATTGTCTTCTTCAGCCTGTGAAAAATATCAGCACTGGGGCCTCCCTGGGGGCACAGGGGTTAAAGTCTCAGCACTGTCAAGTTATCCGCAGTCACTGGGCCTGAGTTGGATCCCCGCCCCGGAGCTGACCCACATGGAGCAGCAGACCTCTCTTGACCCGCCCGCTGCTCCCCTCAGCAGTGTATTTCAGTAGATCCACCTGTCCTGCTCCCCACTCTGTCTCTGGTGAAGCCTCTCCTCGCCGTACCTCAGGCCTGCACCCCAGCTCTGTGTGCATAAATCAATAAAAATGAATTTTAAAAAGAAGAAAATGTCAGTGCTGCAGTGATGAGGCTGCGGACACTTGGCCTCCATGTGGCCAGCAGGGCGTGGAGAGGTCTGGGACCCGCTGACGAAGCCTCCGGAGATGGCTCCTTGCCCTAGGCAGGCCAGACACACTAAGCTTCTCTTCAAGCGAAGGTAGACATACTCACTTTTATGTGCAATGTCCTCAGTTTTAAATCTTGGCAAATGATGAAAGGACTTTGATTTTTAAAATCAACATTCCGTGAGCCAAATGAAACCCGACTGGGCACCAGCTTGGCCCTGCTCCCAAGTTCTGCCTTTGAAGCCACGAGAGGCTCGTCCTCTGTGAGAAGAGGTTTTCCTGCAGGAGGCTGGAGGTCGGGGAGAGGAAGGCCAGGCGGACAGCGTGGCGTCCTGTTAGCCTGGGGACCGCTCCGCTCCGAGACCCCTGCTTCTCGAAGCTCCTCCACAGCCCTCAGCTCCTAGGCTGCTAAGCCGGGAGTGGGAAATGGTTTCGCAAATGGTCAAATGCCTCCTGGACATAAAGGCTCAGTGATGAGGACAGGGGAGGCCTCTCAGGTGAATAGCTGGGAGGCGTGAAGCCTGCAGCTGCAAACACCTTTCAGGACACCAGCCCTCCTCTCTCATGTGGGCACATCCTCCTGGTTCTAGAGAGCAAAGGGGGGGCCTCTAACTTCCCTGTCCATCCGGGGCCCCAAGGGGACCAGACACGCTCTGTAAAAGGCAGCGGGGAGTTCCTGATTCTACAGGCTGGGGTGGGGGCCCAGAATTTGCACATCCTGGGCTATTCGGACATTCGGGGGCCACACTCTGAGGACTGATATGAAGCTCCCTCTCTGTCCCTGCCCGCTGTCTCCAGGGCCGGCCCCCTCAATGGAGCAGGAAGCCAGCAGACACAGAGACTTGATGTCACCCAGAGGTGAGTTTTGCTTAGGTTGTATTGTTACACATCAGACACCCTCACATCACCACAGCCCACATCAAAGTCTAAACTCTTGCTGATATGGGTTGAACAGTGTCCCCCAATGTTAACATGTTGAAGTCCTGATTTCCTGGTGCCTCAGATTATGACCCTATTTGGAGACAGGGGCTTTCCAGAGACAAATGAGGCCCTAATCCATAGGTTCAGGGTCCCTGTAAAATGGAGAAATTAGGGCCCAGATATGTGTGTGTGTGTGTGTGTGTGTGTGTGTGTGTGTGTGTGTGTGTGTGTGAGTGTGGAGAAGCCAGGCCAGCCACAAGCCTAGGAGTCAGGCCGGGCAGACCCCTCCCTCACGGCCCCCAAGGGCCACGGCCGGCGGCCAGCTTTAGCCCTCAGATGCCTGCGCGGGGATCCGTACCCCAACAAGCCTTCCCAGTACCCAGTGTGTGGTGCTTGGTCACAGAAACCCACATGCCTGGTCTGTTGGGAAGGTCAGCTGCACCTAGCAGGGTGTCCCCTCAGACAGGACCTGCTGCTCCCTGGGCCCCCAAGTCCTCTTGCGGTCTGGACCCACGGGTTTCAGGTTTCAGTCAGTACTTCTGTGCCCCCAGGTACCTGTGAGTCCTCTCCCCTGGGGCCAGCTTTGGTTCCCACCTGGAGAGAAGATGGACCCCCCCAACAGCACAGGATGAGGCCCCAAGGGGGCTGGTGTTGACACTGAAGGCTGTGACCGATGAGTACCCCAGGATCTCGGGGTCCTCCCCCAAAGCCCAGGCACCAGGCCCCTCTCTTCTCCAGCTCAGGCGCTCTAGCCCCACCCCACTGTCAATGGGTCTTTGTCCCTGACTGGGAAAGGCACGGGCTGAGTCTGACATCATGAAGCCTGAGGTGGGGGTGGGGCTCTCCCCCCTTTGACCTTCTCCTCATTCTGGGTCTGAGGGATTTCCCACCCCTCACCCCCAACCTTGCCCAGGGTCCTCCCCTCCCTCCTTCTCCAGAGCTCTGACCTAAAGGGCTGGAAGATGCCCCATTGGGACTGAACAGTTCAAGGTCAAACCACTACTACACTTAATAACAGCACCTCCAGCTCCCCACCACCCCCCAACTTGGGAAGGTCGTGACCCATGGGAGGGCCGAGGCAGCAGGAGCGTTACTGTGGAATCTGCACCCCGAGGGTCCCCACCCCGCTCAGAGCCTGCACACCTGCAGCATCTCTGCCCACCCGGCTCTTCCGGAGGACTGAGGAGAGCAAGACAGGCAGGCACAGGCAGAGCCCTGCCCTGGGGGGCTCCTGGTCAGCAGAGAAGCAGCTCCCCAGGAGAGCGCAGGTTGGCAGATGCGCTGGGGGTGGCGAAGGACCTGCCAGCCTGTAAATGGAGCTGCTGGGCAGGATGAGAGCGGCGCAGGGCAGTCTCCAGAGGAGCTGGGGTGCTGAGCAGGCTGTAGCCAGGGAGAAGCGGGCGTGGGCGGGCGTGGGGGAGACTTCCAAGAGGAAGGAGGAAGCGCAGGGGCCCGGGGTCAGGAGGGGCCGGAGTGTCTGAGGGGCACACACATGCGTCCACTCTGCAGCTCGGGAGCTTGACCCCGGCCAGGAGCCGCCCCCGGCAGGCGTTTGCCAGTGAGCAGGCCTTGGCGCCTGGAGGTCATGTTCTCATGAGGCGCGTAACTAGGTGCAGGCACCGCTGCGACCCGGGGCGTGATGACAGACAGGTGCCATCGAAGCCGGGAGTGGCGGCCCTGTGTGCTCCTGGGGCCAGGTGGCCTCTGCCAGCTCCAGGGCCAGGGCCAGCCCCAACATAGGCTTCCCGGAAGCCGAAGGCAAGGCCTCTGCCCTCGGCCCGGGACTTGCAGGGTTGTTAGCACCGGGGCACCAGGGTCCAGGATGCTCCGTTATGGAACAGAGCGAGCGAGCCAGCGAGCGAGGGAGCCGCCCCCTCCGCCCCAGGAAGGGGCTAGTAGAACCCAGGCGTCAGGCTGCCTCGTCCAGCAGCGGTGACAAGGGCCCCTTTGTGCCCCCCTCCCCCGGGGACAGGGAGGAGCTGGCCCTGGAGGCAGGCGGCCCCTGGCACCCAGAGGAGGGGAGGGGCTGGCGAGTGGGGGCCTAGACCCTGGGAGGCCAGGGGCCTGTGAGCCGGCCCGCGGAGCAGAGGTGCAGGAGGAGCAAGACTAGCCGAGTGAGTACTGGGCCGAGCGGCCTGGGCACAGTCGGGGAGCGAGGCCCGGCCGAGCGCAGAGGAGGGAACTCCAAATCCACGTGCAAGGCGAGGTGCCGGCCTTGGCCACCGATTAGGAGCAGCCCAGGAGCGCTCTGGCAATTGGCTAGGACACGGAGGAGAAGGTGACCAGGCTTGGGGGAGAAGCCAGAGAGGAGGGGTGGCGGGCCCTCAGCAGCTCCCGCCTGAAGGCCCTGCAGGAGCTGGTCCCTGGGGCTCCCAAGTTTGGGGGCCCGGGGTGGAAGGGGTTGGGGGCTAGGAGACAAGAGTCAGGATGCCCAGGTGATCAGACACCTGCATCGGCCACCTGGGAGGGAGGAGGCAGCAGCGGTGAGTGAGCACCTGTGGCACTCAGGTGCGTGTGCGGGCGTGCAAGCGTGTACACGCGTGTGAGCGTCTCGAGGTGTTCACCGCTCCCGGGGAAATCTTAATCTGCTTCGGTGTTTCTCGGCCTTTTTTCATTCCATCCCACTAACGAAGGCTTTGCATGTGCTTTTCCTAATCCCATGCCAACCCGCCACCCCCGGCCGGGAAATTTTAACTCGATGGATAACCTGAATATGTTTACAGACTGTGCTCACTTAGCGTCCTGAGTCCCCCGAAAGGCCCCACCCTAAGCACCAAGGCTCACCCGCGTAAGAGGGCCAGGTCTCCGGGCTCCTGGCACACACCTGGCCCGCGCAGGGCTGGCCGCCCGCGTGTCTAGCTCCCTACCTCGGCTCCCAGGTGGGAGGGTATCGGCCACGTGTCCATCCCGCGTCGGCGGGCCTGGCCCTAGCAACAGCGCAGCGTGGGTGTGTCTGCGAGCAGGTAGGGCCGCGCGCGCGTGCCCAGTGCGCTGCGTCCCGGCGGGTGGCTGAGCACAGGGCTGCTGCCGCGGAGGCCGTGTGCGCCTGCTGCCTGCCTCCGCGTGCGCCTGCGCCCTGGCTGCCACCGGCGCTGTCACATTGCAGGCCAGCGCCTGCATGTGTCTGGCCGCGGTGCGTGTGTCTGTCGTGGGAAGGCAGTGGCGGAGGCCTGGAACGCAGCCACTTGGAAGGCCTGGCCCCGACCTAGGGCGACCCACAGAGCAGCTGAGTGCCAGGGACTCATCAGCCCCTACCCCGGTCCTTCCTGGCCCCACCCGGAGTCCGGCCAGGAGTGCCCAGCAGACTCTTCTCTCACCCCCACCTTCCCCGGGAGCCCCCCAGAAGGAGGCACCCCACCCTGAAGGAACAGGGTTCTTTTGTACCGGGCCCTGGCTTCAGCTGCGGGTGGGGACACCAGGGGCCGTCTGTGGGGTAGGAGGGGGCGGCAGGAATTCACACGGCATGCTGGGAATGCTGATACTGAGACCCGGTCATTGATGGGCCGGGTCCTCATGCCACCCCCAGACCTCTGCCGTGGGACATCTGCTCCCTCACCACGCTCACCACACCCCAGCTCACCCACCCCAGCTCCCCCCACCCCATGCTGTGCGCTCCCCTTTCCTTCCCTCCCCTCTGCTGCCTGGGGTGAGTGGGGGGGAAGAGGTGTGGCCACAGAGTAGCTTCAGGCTGTGTGGGAGGGTCCCAAGCACCCTTGGAGGTCAGAGACCTCATGGGCAGCCTTACAAGAGGCCACAGCCCAGTAGAGATGGAAAGTGGGGGGGCAGAGGTGCTCAGGCCCTCACCCCGTGGCAACAGTGCGTCTGACTCTTGCTCCAGGTTGACTGGCTGACTGCTTCCAGTGGCATCAGAGTTGTTCCCAGCACAGGGAGGCTGAGGCGAGGGGCGTTCGGGCACCAGCGCCTCTCCTCTGGTCTCCCCAGCTCCGCTGCTGGGCTGGCCTCAGCTGTCCTTTCTGGGGAGCTGCCGGTCAGCACCCCCCAGAGAAAGGACAGTTTGGGGGCTCAGCAGACCTGCAGCCAGACAGAGCTGTGTGGCCTTGGAAAAGTTGCTTGACCTCTCTGGGCCTGTTTTTTTAAAATAATATAATAGTTTATTTTCACATCACTTTGTGCCTTTTCCCATCTCAGTTGTCATGCTCCCACGGCCTGTTTTAAAGTGAGAACAATTGTGGTTTCGACCTCAGAGAGATCACATGAATCAGTTCATGTAGAGGGAAGCGCACGCCGCACAGTGAGACCTGGGGCTCCGTGGGCGGCGGCCGGGGGCGCGGGCTGTGACCACAGGTAACATCAGCAGCTGTTACCCCAACGGGTGAAGTATCAGCAGAACGAACAGCCCTTTCCACGACCCCGGGGCTCTCACCGTCTGTCTCTTCTTTCCTTCCCAGCTGTCAAAATGATATTCCTCACGACACTACCCCTGTTTTGGATCATGATTTCAGGTAACTGGGGGGAGGGTGTGGGGCCCCACCGCCCCGAGTTGGCTGGAGTGTTTTCTGTGGGTCCCTCGACCCCTCAGGCTCGCGGAAGGTGACGGGAGTGGCGGGGGTGGGGGTGATCCCGGCGGGACCTGACCCTCAGCCTCGGTGATGCTGTTGGCCCTCAGCCTCCCGAGGGGGACACTGGGGTGCCTGGATGCCGTCGTCCATCTCCGCCTTCGAGGGCACCTGCGTGTCCATCCCTTGCCGCTTCGACTTCCCCGACGAGCTGCGGCCGGCTGTGGTGCACGGCGTCTGGTACTTCAACAGCCCGTACCCCAAGAACTACCCCCCGGTGGTCTTCAAGTCACGCACCCAAGTCGTGCACGAGAGCTTCCAGGGGCGCAGCCGCCTTCTGGGGGAGCTGAGTCTGCGCAATTGCACCCTGCTGCTCAGCAACCTCAGCCCGGAGCTGGGTGGCAAGTACTACTTCCGCGGGGACCTGGGGGGCTACAACCAGTACACCTTCTCCGAGCACAGCGTCCTGGACATCATCAGTGAGTCCCCAGGGCGGTGCGGCCCGGCCGGGCGGGCGGGAGGGGGGCCGAGGCGCTGCGGGCCAGCCCGGGGAGGCCTGGCTCCTCTGGCTTGGTCGGGGGAGGTGCAAATCCCAGCGGCACAGGGCCGGCCCATGGCAGGAGGGAGCCACGGCCCCCCGCCTGGCCGCCCTCAGAAGGAGGTGCGCTGTCACGCTTCTGGGAACGCCTGCGAGGAAAGCCGGGCGTCGGGTCAAGGGCCTCTGGGGCTGCCTCAGCGGGGTGGCTGTGAGCAAGCTGTGCCCGGCCTCCAGCCTGGTTTCCCCTCCTATGCGCTGGGGTAAGAGCTCAGTGCGCCCCGGCTCCGGCCCGGTGGAGAATGCAGGAACACGGACCCCCGGCAGCCTGGGTCACCAGGAGCGGGGATGGTGTGCTCTGTCGTCTCCTAGTTCTTAAACACTGGCTGCGGATTCCGTTTTTGTTTTTTTTTTTAAGATTTATTTATTTGTGCATACAGAATTGGGGTATAGGCCAGAGGTGCAGGGGGTGAGAGGCTTCACCAGAGACAGAGTGGGGAGCAGAATAGGTTGAGGGGAGCAGCGGGCAGTCAGGAGAGGTCTGCTGTGCCCTGTGGGTCAGCTCTGGGGCTGGGGATTGAACTCCTGCTGCAGTGGCTTGGGAGAGCTTTGTGATGTGGTGCTTTAACCCATTGCGCCACCAGGGAGAGCCCTGATTCTGGTATTTTTATAAAATCCTAAACTTAGGCTAAGCGAATCTCAGCTTGGGTCAGGTTTGGCCATCAGAGTAAGGCCACTGCCTGGTTTCTGAGGGGTCTTCCTGCACGCACACACACACACACACACACATGGCCACACAGGCACAGCCATGCGCACACACAATACATCACTCACACTCATGTGCACACGTACACACGCACCTTAAACAGTACACACACGCCTGCCTGCACTTACACTCACACACACGCACAGTACAGACAGAGGGCCTCCCTGGTGGCGCAGGGGTTAAAGTCTCAGTTCTATCGAGCCGTCTGCAGCCACAGCAGCACGAGTTCAATCCCCGGCCCCAGATGTGACCCACAGGGCCCAGCAGACCTCGCCTGTCTCCCCGCTGCTCCCCTCAGGGTGTATTTCGGTCAGTCCTCCTGTTCTGCTCCCCACTCTGTCTCTGGTGTCTTGTCTCACCCCACCACTCCTCTGGCCTGTACCCGAGTTCTTGTTTGCATAAATAAATACAAAATAAATCTTTAGAAAGAAATTCATTCACTGTTGTCTGTGTGTATACGTCTTGTGTGTGAGTGTGTATACACGTACAGTATATACACACTCACACACAAGACGTATACACACAGACAACACACACGCATCCACACACTGTCCATGCACACAGACAACACACACAGGCTCACACAGATACACACAGCACATACCTGCTCACACTGACTTGTGCAAACACACGGAAGCTCAAACCAAAGCAGACACGTGGGAGGAGAGAGGCTTCCCGAGCTGGGCGGCCTCAGGTCTGGAGCGCCTGCAGCGAGGTCAGACGCCTGGGCTCACTGTGGGCTCAGCTGCCTCGTGTGCAGAACACGCACAACAGTATTATCCAGCGTCTAGCATGGCCGGCCGGAGGGCGGCCAGGGGAACCCTGGCCGGCACTCAGCTGGCCGCGTGACCTCATGGTCACGCCCGTCTTGGACCCGAGAGGACTCTGGGGTGACTGAGAGGAGACAAGCTCGTAGGGCCTTCTGGAGGGGAACCCAGCCAGGACCGAGCTGGGCGGGGTGGACACTACCAGACATTCCTGTCTGATGGCGGGGTGCTATCCCCTCGAGCCGCTCCCCCACTGCTCCCTAGACACCCCCAACATCGTGGTCCCGCCGGAGGTGGTGGCAGGCACGGAAGTGGAGGTCAGCTGTATGGTGCCTGACAACTGCCCGGAGCTGCGCCCCGAGCTGAGCTGGCTGGGCCACGACGGCCTGGGGGAGCCGACGGTGCTGGGCCGGCTGCG